CTCCAATTTTTAATAAATTTCAAATTTGAGTGTTATCTATTAGCTACCACTATAGAAAATTGTGCATCATCCATATGCAGTAAGTGTTCCAAATTGGAAAATATAAATCTACGTAACCTCATTTATAAACGAAAAAAGTGTGTCTCTGCCTCGGATAAACAAATTATTTACGATTTCTGTTAGTTTGGTAGGTAGGGTTGTGCCACCTGTCCTTTTTTGAAAAGGACAGTCCTTTTTTTCAAACAAATTGTCCTTGTGACTTTTTAAAGGTTAAAATGTCCTTTTTTACGGCACATGTCCTTTTTTACGGCACATGTCCTTTTTTACGGCACATGTCCTTTTTTACGGCACATGTGCTTTTTTACAGCACACGTCCTTTAAAAGGACCGGGTTTCTAAAAATATAAGCCTTTTTATTTTTTTAGAAGCTCGGCAGAAGGACCAGGGGTTTATTAAAAAAAATATAAGCTGATGAGGACTTGTTTTTACTAGAAGCTCGCCAAAAATACTTGGTTTTTAACCAGGTTCCCTGTCGTCACCGTTGTCCCGCTTTTCCCTTTCGTAAATCTGGCAACCCTACACCTTTATTCACTTTTTAAACAGGTGGCATCCCTATTAGTAGGTAGTTTGCACCCCTATTATAGTTTGCACAATTGATTCGTAACAACGTCATAAAACACATGCAAAACAAAATAATACTTAAAATGTATTTACTTTAACTATGTGAATTATTATTCTGAATTAAAGCTCTGTATGAAAAAAAAAAAAATAATAATAATAATTTCAATAATTTAAGATTAACAAAAAACAAACTGCTTTGTTATGAAATATAATTTTTTTCGAATTATTTTTATTAACAAAATTTATATTTATAAAATGGCGAAATATGTATTTTTTACAGTATATTATTATTTCTCAAAAAGAATTAACTGCTTCAAAATGCTCTGTAAATAGCCCGTGCTACATGCTGAACTCAAGTCATAGTAACAAATATTTTAAATGTATTAGATTCACTACCGGAGAAAAACAAAAATATTACCAAGATACAAAAAGTGGTGAAATGAAAAAGTAAAATCTGCCTACAGAGATCTTGCATATAAAAAAAATTCTCAAGAAAAACAAAAAATAACTGGAATGATTATAAAATACATAGAAATAGAAATAATGTAAGTAGAACAGAAAAAATAAACACAGAGAAAAATATTTACGTAAGTATGGGAAATTTCAAGGAAATGTGGAAATCTCTTGAATGTCTGCTCCCAAAAAATAATAAGTAAAATGATTTAATCGAAATTGAACTAGAAAATAATGTGAAAATATTTTTGGCATGCCGAATGCTCTTAATAAATTTTACAAAGACAGTGTCCAATCGATTGCTAATATGATTGATCATACAATACAAGATTTTCAAATTTTAGACAGACACAATGGACATTTTCTTGGGAGGTTTCAACTATGTATGGTGGATTCTTTAAGAGACATTATTTTTGCAATGAAAAATAAAGTAGCACAGATGACAATAACTTTAATATTTAAAAAAACTGTTTTCCAACCTCTCAGAACCACTTTTAAATTTAATAAATTCGTCCTTAGAAAAAATATCAAAAATACCAAATAATGCTTTAAAAATTGCTACGGTAGTCCCCGTTCCTAAAATTAAAACGCAAATAAAGCTACTGATTTAAGACGAAAAAATCCTTGTCATTTATAAAAAAAAATGTTATAACTATTCAGTGTGTTCAATATATGATTGAAAATATAATTTTGATAAAAACTATCTAATGTTGGCACCGTTTATAGATCTCCAACGGGCATTTGAAACTGTTGATCAAAACCGTTTGATACCAAAATTAAAAAGTATGGGTACCTATAGTAGAGCAAGCATTGGAGTAGTGTGCAGATTATCTAAGTAACAGGAAACAAAAGTTAAAAGTAAATAACTTCATATCAGCAGAAATTAACTATACCAAAGGAATTCCACAGGGAAGCATATTGGGTCCCCTGTTATTTTTAGTTTATATCAATAACATTGTTGAAGTCGAGGGTCAATGTGATATTCATCTATTTTTCTTGTAAGGATCCAGACAACTTAGTAAGAATTGTTGATGAAACTCTGAAAAATGTTTTTAAATGGAAAAAAATTTAAAATTTAAAAATCAACACAAATAAAACAAAATGCTCGACAAAATCATTCACTGTTGGGTTCTAATTAACAGTGCTGTTCCTAAAGTGGCGCTGGGAAACAGTAACAAAGCCTACACAGAACACGAGGCTAATGGCCGTAGTAGTCGACGCCGATGACACCAATTAAAAAAAAAAAAAATGTATGCCGATAAGTAATAACTATGGCTATGTGCAATTTGTTGAAAATCAATATAACATCACAATTGGAGGAAATTCTATACAAATAGTAGAAAAATGTAAATGCTTAGGGGGTAATGATTGACAAATAAATGAAATTCACAGACCCATGCCAACTCTATCATCAAAAGTATTGCATTTAAGTTAAATTTCCTAAATAATGTATTATATATCACTTTAATTATTATTCTACAATACTCTTTTTTCTAAATAAAAACGAGTTGAACCGACTGCAGAAGCTGCAGAATAGGCAATGCAAATAATATCTTGCTCTAAATATACTCCCATTAATCTAATGCTTGAAACTATGAAATGTATGTCAATCAAAAGTATTTTTATCAAGGAATGCATTAATTTTTATTTATAAAATCAAACAAGGGTTACTTCCGATGTACCTAAAAGAGAAGCTTAATTATCACTCTGATGTGCATAGTTATCCAACTCAGAACAGAAATAATTTTTATATTGAAACTGTTGTTAAGAGTGCAACACAAAGTTACTAGTTTTTAAAGGCTTAGACCTCTATAAAGCACTCCCAGAGAAAATTAAATCTGTAACTACATTTTAAATTTGGGTCACAGATTTTTTAAATAATGAATATTTCTCCAGAAATAGTAGCAGGGTTAGTTTTAATTGTATTTGTATATTGTGATATTAGCAAATTAGCTAAATAAAGAAAACAATCATAGCCTGCCAAGACAGGACCGTAGCAGCTACAGGTAGGTGCCAATAATGGCGTATTTGTTACTGTTTGGCTGATATTTTCAATATTAATTAATAAATTTGCTATAAAAAGTATATTATTGGCATATATTGAAACAAATTCTGAACAGTTGAATCATACTTCAAAACCGTCGAATTAATATGGGATATTTATTTCTAGATTCTATAAACGCTAAAATTAAAAAAAAATCAAGGTACCTGGAGGTTTTTATTTGATGATTTTTTTGCTAATGTCACTTTGCTGCGCAGTAGCTGAATGACGCAAGTGCCTGTCCTAACTCTCAATGTTTTTTACAATTTCAAATTACCTAAAATAACTTTCCTCAAATTCGACATCAGCTCCTAACTATAACAAATAACTCTTACATCGCTGCAAAGAATGCATTAAAATTGAGAATCAAAACACAAATGACCAATAGCTCACATTTCAACTGAACATGGTAATCGAACAATGACAGAATTGTTCATTGGTGACAAAGTATCACAATTACTTATATAGTTGTGTCACCAGATTAAATAACATTTTTTCTTACTGTTGTTATATTTATTTATAATAATACATAATTTCCATTACGCCGCTGGTGGTCTAATTCATTATTATTCCCATTAAAATATATACGTTTGATTTTGTTTCTTATCAACCTATTTCTTTGTTCTTGGTAAAATGCCATCACTTCAGTAAAATTCATCATCTGCCAAGATGGGTTATATTTTATTCCAAAATCTATAATTAGTCTCCGAAACCACAATAATGGAGTTCGCATAATTTTATTATAATGCAATGAGGTGATTCCAAACTTTACCAAATCTATAGTTCTTAAATAACCCATTATAAGAAGAATCAATTCATCAGGTAAAACATCTAAACACTCTTGTACACAAAAATGGCTTTTCAATATAGCTTGTTTTGCTGGATAACACAGATTGTCTTTAACTTTACAGGAAAATCCACGTAAATGTTGTAATCTCACATTGTGTATGCTTACATTAGAACTAGAAAAATATGTAAGAGTGTCTAAATACACAGTAAACCCATTTTCAATTCCTTTAATATAACAATTTATTAATAAATCATCTAAGTTCGAAGAGCATAAGACAACACATTCGTTTTCTTCAAAATTCTCTAACATAAATGATAATTTGTACATTCCATCTTTTTTCCAGGTATCTGGCAACTTCTTTGTATATTCTAAATGCTTTCGTAGATTAAAACTAGAATTAGTGTTGTCATCTTTGAAATTAGTAGGTAGAAATCCCGTTTCCAACATTAAAATGTAAATAAGGCCTATTAAAACATCATTCCTTGTAGCACGTGGTTCTGTTTGTTCCAAAAAATTGAGAATGTTTTGAATTGATTTCGGATACTCTTCATTTTGAAAATCATCCACAAATATTGGTTCCATCACTGAAATAAAATGTCTTCATTCACTTTGCGTATATTTAAATGTTTGGTTCTTTATAGGTCGCTCAAGCCATTGAAATATTTTAAAAACTGCCTGTTGATTCACACCAGATATTTTAAAATATAAAAATTCAAAAAAATAAAGTAATAAATTATAACAATCTTTATATTGTTACAAACTGCGCAATAATTTGACAAAAATACACTTCCAAATTGTTTTCAATTATTTTGCAACCATGCGTCAAAATATCAAACATATGAGATGAGAGTTGAGTCATACAACAAAAAACATAACCTCTGCGTTGTCAACCTTGTCCTTCTCAACAAAGTAGAAAAGTACCTTCAGATATTCGTCAAAAAATGTATAAACTAAAAATACCATTCATAAACCATAAAAAGGTACCTACCTAGTTATCAGTTAATAAAAGAGTACATTTTTTAAATATCTCAAAACATCAGTGAATGAAAACAGAAAATTCTGTTGAAATACAAACGTGTCATTTAATAAAACCTACCATTTTGAAGTTTAGTTTTTGTCGTAGACTCCGTACTTTGGACTGTATTTATTTGATTAGTTGTATTTGTGTTATTTGACACTACACTATCACTACTTTCAGCCATATTTCACTATAAACCACTATAAACTTCCATATTTAGCAACACAACTACTGTTCTTTCGGCAATTTTAAATCTAGTTTTCGATGGCTTTGGCCAGAGGCCAGCACTTACTTGAGTGTCTTAAAGAAACCTACCTTGATTATTTTTATTCATTTGAAATTTAGACATGAGTGGGGCAAAACTGTTTAAAATATTATTTATGCTTTTTGGCCCTATTATTTTCAGGGAATAAAATGGCACTTTTACTGCCTAGGAATTAAAAATTTACATTTAATAACTAGGGATTAGAAGTGTAATCTTATATCATACAACCGAAAATATAGTACAAAATACAATACTTATATGTCAACACTATAACAATCTTATACTGACATCGTTAAGTGGTTTTTAATAATTTCCATTTTTTAGTTTTTTTTTTCTTAAAGTGCATAAAATAGCGTATAAACCACGGGACTGGAGTCTTTTCACTTCGAGATAAAAAGTGTATTATGTACTAGCTATTACATATTCATATGATTAAGTTTAAATAATTAATTTCCTTTGGATGGTCATAGGACCCCAGAAATAAAAAGGTCAACACAAAACAGATTGCTTTACTTACAAAACGTGCTCGTTGGTTTAATTTTTGTTAAGGGTAAACAAAAAATTTGTTATGATTTTTCTTTAGAATGCAAACAACTGAAAGTCATAAGAAAAGACATTTATGTTAATGATTGATAATCAAAATAAGATATTTGCTTTCTTGAATATTCAGCTGATAAAAACGATTTTTTTCTAATTTTTCTTGATATTCTTGTTTTTTTGTAAACGAAGAAGGTTATTAAGAGTAGCATCAGTTAATCTTCGCCTTCTTGGTGCAACTATAATGTATTCATTTGTTTAATAAAGATTATAAAAAATGATTTGGAAAATATCTTAGTGCATGATAACATAAAATAAATACAGTGAGGACGTATAAGTGGGAATAAATTCGATATTTTTCTGTTTGATAATATTTTAACAAAATTCTTCCACAGGTCAATTTTTATTTTCAGCTGCTCGTCTTCAGAGCCGCCGAGAGCCAGGTCGGGCCCTGGGACAATTTTCCAGATGGGGCCCCGTGACAATTTTATAAAACAAATAAGCCCGTTCAATATCACATTTCTAAAAAAAGTCCTCATCTTGTATTTTACTTAAATCAGCGCTCCTCCCTTTTGTGGGCCACCTTCAAAAAAAAAAATAAATAAAAAACCTCACCTAAAGCATGCCGGGCCCCCCTTATGCCGCTGCCGGGACCCCACTTGAGCCCGGGCCCCGGGAATTAGTCTCGCCTACCCACCTCTCTCGTCGGCCCGGCTCGTCTTACGTTACTATTGGATGTACTAATGAAGTCACCACTTTCATGTACACGACGTCATAGATTTTTTTTTAAATAAATGGAATAACATATTTTTTAACGATCACTATCCAAAGTAAGTTTTGGCACATTCAAATCTAACTAGAAAGTTTACTTTTCCGCGAATTGTCATAATTTGATATTATTGGCGCACAAGTGCACCAAAGTAACTTTGGCACACGCTTGTCTATTTTCATTTGAATTACATAAAAGAAAGCCAATCCGTATTTTAAAACAAAATGTAGGCTAATCTAAAATATTATAATTGACTTCCTAATATTTTAAATCATCCAATAGTATTTTCAGTAAATAATTAAATCATAAATAATTACCAACATATAAGTACTAAAACATTTTTTCTCTTCAAAGAGTAGGCTTATGTCAAATAAACTTATAATATCGTCCCTGTCCAGGCAAAGTATCGTAAGCAACCTTTTTTGCGAAACTGGGATTTTGGTGATGTCGGAATCGTCTAATTGAGATACATCGACTCAAAAAAATATAGTATGTTACAAAACTCGTAAAACATCAAATTTCTATTTAAAACTTTTCCATCGTATAGGTACGCCTATAAATCATAAAATATCGCAAGTCACAATATTATCAACATTTGTCACTTTGTATCGATCATAGTCCTTAAAATATCGTAAGCTTATGTCGCTTACGTTTTATTCTATAGCCAAAGTTCTAAAACCTTTTAAACATTGTATAGATTGTAACACCTTAAGGCTCACAACGTTCAGTACAAATTGTATGCACCCGCCGCTTATGATATATTTTTTGTTTAGGTTGTTAATTTTAGCGGCAATTTTAGGTTTAAATATCGCAACTGCCTGTTTTATTCGTGTAAATTAACAGATCCGCCTGTCGCTTACGATATTTTCCACATTATAGCGTCATTATTTAACGCGCCTTGGTAGTTAAATAATATTGTGACGCGGAGCCGTCTCTGTACTTTGTTTACTCCTTGCCGCATTATGAAGTCTGGCGCTGGCCATATAGAGATAAACGCACTTCTCGAAAATGCCGAAATAATCGCCGTGCGGCGTATGAGTCATAAAGAGGGACTTCCCGAAGCTTGTAGGTGGCCTAGAGAGTGTTCTGGTACAGGGCTGGATTTATATAAATAGCCGCGACTTTGTCGATAGGGGTAAAGATTCGCGCGGCAGCTTTCTGTCTCAAGTCTCAACTGCCGAAGTGCTACTTTCTGCTCTACATACACAAATAGCTATTATCTAGCAGATATCTGTGGGATATTGAATGCAACTTAATAATTACATACTTTCTTAGTTATCACATGGCGTAATATTTAAGTAATTTATTATTACATCAATTTACATATTTTTAAATATTTAGGCACATAAAATACATCTAGTGGATACCCACCATGGTTTGCGTTCGCGCCTAGACTTTGATATATTTAGCGGATATCCATGGGATATTGAATACATCTTTTTTTAATTTAAAATATCTAAACGGTACTATATATTAGCCATCATGGCAAAAGTTTTTTTTAATTTGTGATGAAATTACTATTATTTATTGACAATTCTATAAATTATATCTCATATACAAAATATATATCCACTATGGACTGGACATTCAGTGGATATTGGGTGAAAATACTTGGAAATTTAACAAAGCTTGTCGTCGCCGCGATTCGAACCCAGACATCTTTGTTTTCTAGACAAATTCCCTTAATGCTAGACCATGATGACATTGACTGTTGAGATTCCTAGACAGAATTCTGATGTGCTAATTCGGCCCAGATGTCGTTTTAGGCTCGTTTTCAAATCTTCAAATACCTCTCTACAGTATCGGTACACATGAGAAATGCATTGATACATACTAAGCCCATATCTTCGTCTGCGTGAATTAAGTTTTAAAACCTGATTATAAAAATTGTGAATTTAATATAAAGTAGATCGCAAATCACAAAGTCAGAAATAAGTTGTAGAATAATTTGAATATTCGGAAACATATCTCAAAAATCCCCTTCTGAATTATTAAGATCATCCCCGAACCCCAAAGGTGAAAACAAATACTTCTTGTAATCTCCTTAAATAACTTTAAATGTGTCATAGGGTCCTCAATAATCAAAATGATATCATTTTGAAAATACACTGTTTGAAATTGTTCAATCTTCTAAAGCAGTGTTTCTCAAAGTGTGGTCCGCGGAACACTGGAGCTCCACAAACCCGTTGACGGGGCTCCGCGAAGAAAATAATAGTCATAATAAAAAATTGTGAAGCAGTACTATCGGCACAGCTACAAACGGAAGGATCTGGATTGAGGACTTTTTTTTTAGAAATGTGTTTAGGGCTCCGTCAAATATTTCGCTTTTCAAAAAGGTTCCATCGCCAAAAAAGTTTGAGAAACACTGTTCTAAAGTATAGCAAACAATAAATAACATTGTTCCAAAAAATACTACAATATGTGCTAAGGAATGGCCAAATTAATAATTAGACATCGTTTGAATGATTTTAGTGAAGAATAGAACCCCTTAGACACTACGACGCTACTATATATAGAAACGCTAGTAGCTAATATTTTTTTGCACCACTGTTCAAACAAATGACAATTTTTTTTTCTGGATTATTTTGTTGCATAGAGTAATTGATATATTTGGGAAATATAATTTGTATTTGTTTTATACAATGTATATTAAGTGGAATAGTGGGTTTCCTAAGTTCCTCTTTCCCCCTTGAGTGTATTTTTGTTTTGAACATACTTTCACTATTTTATTGTCTTTGCAACAACTTATTTGCATAATTAGTTATGTATTTTACAGTTAAAAGGTGTGTTAACAAGAGAGCATTTATTTAATCAAAATCTAGATACTTATCTTTAAAGAAATTGAATCAATGATTTCATAAGAGGCAAAGTCACATAATATTTGGTAGTAAGTAGAGGATAACTTCTATTGAATAAAAAAAGACAAGAGAATCTAAAAATTATGAATATTGTTAATAGAAGAAAGAAAGTAACAACGCAAAATTGAGGAAAAACGCTTTTTGCAAGTCTAGTGATAAAAACTAAGAAAAAAGTAAAATTGTTAAAGGTTTTTATACAATGTTTCCCGCCTTTCATGAGTACATCCTAATATCTCAGTTATTAATTATTCAAATTTTGGTGGTAATTGTATGTTAGAAAAATGAAGTTTTTGGCATAGTGAACATTTTTATTTACCATTGGCGTTCGGTGTTAGGGGTTAAAAACGGCTTTATTTTTTGAAAAAAGGATATTAGGGCTTATTTTAGATAACTTTTTCTATCAGATTTAGAATCAGCATTCCAAAAACCCCTTAATTCATATTTTCAAAATCTCAAGAGTTGATTTAAGCAGAAAAAAAATGTAAGTCCCTTTTTTAATAAGTTTTTTATTTGTAACTGTGATAACAAAATTACAAATCACATTATTTTAGATTCTTGTCCTTTCAACATAACTACCTCTTTTAAAACAATACACTTCTCAACAATGCTTCTTAAACGTACATTCACTTAAAGTGTGAGGAGTAACTTCCTGACACGCTTGCTTAATTCTTATGTAAAACTGCTCCCTATTACGCGGCCGAGTTGCATACACTTTATTTTTCAAGTGCCCCCACAGAAAAAAGTCACAAGGGGTAATATCCAGCGATCTAAGTGGCCATGGTTCTAAAGACTTTCTACCTATCCACTTCATAGGGAAAGTTGCATTTAAAAAGTTCCTATCAGAGAATTATGTGCTGGGTACCATCTAATTGAAAGAATACATTGTGTCTGTGCTAAAGACAATTCCATGAGAAAATCATAAAAATAATTTTGTAAAAAATGTAGAAAATATTCTCCGTTCAGGTTATCCAGGAAAAAAGGTCCACCAATTCGTTCGTTAAATATTCCACACCATTACTTTTTCAATGTATTGGTTTTTACAATTAATTACCCAATTCGGATTGTCGGCTACCCAAAACCTACAATTTTGACTAGATACAACACCTTTTATCGTAAATGTAGCCTCGTCAGTGAATATTATGTTCTTTAAAAAAAGTCTGTCATTAAGATAGTTTCCTTGCAACCATAAGCAAAATTCAAACCGCCGTTCAAAATCACCATTTAACAGAGTATGTAGAAATTTTGGTTTAAATGTCCTAATCCTATTGAGTTTCAAACATCTCCATACTTTGTTTTTCGTTAAATTCAGTATCTCGCAACTGCCCTTATACTACCATTTGGGTTGTTTCGAAATTCTGCTAAGATACGTTCGTCGTCTGGGTATTATTCTGTGGTTGAGCCGCGTTTCGTTCTTGTTTTGTTTAGGCTAGTCTGCGGTGTGTTAGGTTAGGTGCTAAAAGTTTTTAAGTAATTTATTTCAACAAAATATCGTGTCTAGTGTACAAAAATAAGTAACGTAGGTAGTCTTTATTTCTTCTTCTTATACTGTCTTAAAAAGGCAGCTTTTTTTCCAACATTAGGGACTAATAAGTAATAACTATTAAACTTAGTATGTAATATACAAATTATAAAACATGCATATTATTACATATTAAATTTATTACATATTATTTTTAGGTAAGATTTCACATCATGTCACGAAAAGAATCAGCTAAAAAATCAGAAATTTTGAACTTTTTTGAAATTAAACCTAAAGCTGACAAAATTGCCGTTTGCAACATATGTAAAACCGATTTAAGTTATAAATCATCCTCTAACAACTTACGGAAACATATGCAGAGGAAGCACCCACTAGTTAAATTGTCTTCAAGTGAAAACGAAAGCAGATCAATGATTAGTCCGACCTCTGAAGCAGATTTTAATGTTGATCTTCCGTCAACTTCAGGAACAGCCTCAACGTCTAGTAGTGATAAGCCAGAATGCATTAAATCCAAACCAGCCCAAATTCAACCAACAGTTAGTACTTATTTACCTAAAAAATGGGAGTTACTGCCCAAAAAAAAATTGATGATAAACTAATGCTATTATTCACCCACGACTTTCAACCGTTTTCCATTGTGGAAGACTTTGGATTTAGAAACTTTGTATCGGCGCTTAATCCATCATATAACTATATCAAATACACTGTTAGAGGCAAAATATGAAGAAGTTTATAACAAAACCAAAGAGGAACTTAAAGGCGTAGGTTCTGTGACACTAACAACAGATTGCTGGACATCATCTAGTACTGAGAGTTTTTTGGCTGTTACAGCTCATTTAATAGATAATAACTTTGAACTGAAACATAGGGTATTGGGATGCGATTCATTTAGTGAGAGGCATACAAGCGCCAACCTGGCTAGTGCCATTAGAAATATTCTTGCCGAATGGGACTTGGAAAATAAAGTTCTAATATTTATTTCCGACAATGCTGCCAACATTAAAAAGCCATAAAAGAAGATCTTCGACTAAAACATTTGGGCTGTTATGCCCATACAATTAATTTAATTGCGCAGAATTCTTTGCAGCAAGCTTCAAGAATTTTGAATAAAGTTAAAATGGTAGTAGCCTATTTTAGAAAAAGTTCATCAGCTATGACTAAGTTTTTTGAGCAACAAAGACTTTTAAAAATCGAAACCACTAAGGGCCGATTCCACCGTTGAGTTAAACCGAGATTAAAATGACATTATTAATCGGTCCTAAGAGACTCATTCAGGATGTAGTTACTCGGTGGAATGCCACGTTTTACATGGTTGAAAGATTTGTTCAACTTGAAGAGCCAATCCGTACGACCATGGCTCTAATAGAACATGACTTACCAGTTATTTCGGTCGAAGAATGGCAAATTATGAAAGAGCTTGTGGAAATACTTAGACCTTTGGAGGATATCACCAAAGTTATGAGTGGACAAAACTGTCACTGCATCGTCTGTGATCATTCTGACTGATGGACTCTTAGACATCCAAAATAAAGACTACAGTACAATTTCAAAAGCTGTGATATTGTCGATTATAGATGGAATTAATACTAGATTAGGTAATCTGGAAAGCAGTAATTCATTACTTATAACATTTTTAGACCCAAGGTATTTAAAATATAGCATTTTCTAATGATAGTGTAAAGGAAAGAGCTAAAAAACTAATCACATCACTTCTAACAGGGAACATTAAAAACAAAACTGATTTATTGAACAAGTCCAAGAGAATGTCCAAGTGGAGAAAAAAAAAGACTGAGACCTCAATATGGAGAAACTTTGATAAAAAAATATCGGTACTAAGGCCACAGGGTTCAGCACAATCAAGAGCCATCATAGAGTTGCAACGTTATTTAGAAGAGCCACCAATATCTAGAAATGAGGACCCGCGCGTTAAAGCGTTGGAAAAATAATTCGTATAATTTTCCCTATTTAAGTGCCTTGGTAAAGGAAAAATGGATCGTTGTTTGTACCTCTGTCCCCTGCGAAAGGTTATTTTCCAAGTCGGGCATAGTTTTATCAGATCGGCGAAATAGACTGAGCGCCACCAAAGTTAAAAAAATTATTTTTAAACAGTAACCAAGAGTGAGGTAATAATAATAATAAGCTTTATACATTTGTCCATTTTTGCTTTTTTCATTTTTATAATTTTCAGAATACCTTTCATATTATTGTGTTTGTATCCGTTTTAAGGTAGAAGACTGACTTAGTTTTTTTTATTATATTTTCAAGAGTTTAATAAACTAAATAAGTTATCATTTTTATAGGAATTATTTTATTTTAAATTTTATGAAATTTTTATTTTATGTATTTGTTCAGTTTTTGTTCCATGTTCGCTTATTTGTTATAATTTTAAGAATATCTTTAATAATTTCGTTATTAAAGTAGAAGGCTAACTTATTTTTACTAAATTTAAAACTTGTTTTTTGTAATAAATTAAGTACATTTCTATTTGTAAGTCTTTAACGTTTAACTTTTTTTTATTATTTCAAAAATGTTTTTTTTATTTGAACATCTATTAATTTATTGTTCCAATTTAGCTAATTTTTCATTTCTATTATTTGTAGAATATGTATTAAGTATTAAAGGTATAATTTTGAAAAGTTTCCGTTTTTAAGTAATGTTTATATTTTTTTGTAATTTTTTCGGATCTTTCTTATAATCTGAGGAACATAATTTTTTTAAATTGCAAGATGAAAGTAGTTGTTTTACTGTCACTATGTTGTAGTGGTAAACAAACCTCCTCCTACGTAATAAAATTCATTATTCCGAACAGCCTACAGAAGTAAAAGTTGGAAATGCTTTTGCCAGTTCTCCCACTTTATACACATAAATTGACAGGTTGGCAGCGGATCTCACCGAAGTGGACGCGATACATTGGCGTACAAAATTATTTTATAGATGTTAATAACAATTTCGAGTAAATAGTTTAATAAATTGTGAATAGCTGTTGAAATTTTGTAAAATTATAATTTGAATATTATAATACATGTTTAATAATTATTTATAATCCATAAATACATGCGATTGTCCGGTTCCGCCGATAACAATTTAAAATTACTTATTCTTTGAAACGACACTGGCAGGTAAACATTACTGTGAAATTCTCGGAGCCGCCCGACGTGGTTTGACGTTTACCCCCTCTCTACCTACCAAAAGACTTTTCAACTTTTACTTTCACTGGGTCTGTTCCGGTTCTTTAAAATACATTGAAAACTATCAGAGGACTAGTTGACCAGTGGACAGTTTAATAGTTGTGTGCGACGTATACTTTAGAATTGAACTGTTCCACTAGTTCTCGGACGGTTTGCATCGAGTTTTAAAGAACCCGAACAAACCTTCTATATCGCAGAGGCAGAAAATAGTTGACAAGTGATGGGGCGGGCAGGTTCCAGTCGCTAGTTAACTGAGATACCTTTTTAGTTTTTCTATGGAGATACCAATTTCGATTGAACTCAATTACGGCGGGTTGAGCATAAGCACGAGCGAAAGTGGTATTGCCATCTATACTTAATAAGCAAAATCAAAAATTACATCTAGTGGATATCCACCATGGTTTGCGTTCACGCCTAGACTTTAATATATTTAGTGGATGTCCATGGGATATTGAATACACCTTAAAAAAAATTAATTTTAAATATCTGAACGGTACTATTAGCCACAATGGCGTAATTTTTTAATAATTTGCTATATAATAATTACTATTATTTATGGACATTTGCATGTCTATAAATTACATCTCATGGATATAAAATAGATTTCCACCATGGACTGGACATTCAGTGGATATTGGGATGTTCAGTAGATATCCAAAAGATTTGGTGTGCTGTCTGGGTGCTTGGAGAAGAAAATTTTTCAAAAAGTTAGTTCTATTATTCTCAATTCTAGATGTATACCAAATTTTCCTGAAATGGTCCGTATTCGAGAAATTTGACAAAATGACTAAAATTCAGATTTTTAAGAAAATTGTAAAACTAAAAGTTGTTTGCGATATCGATCTCTATAATTTTTGTTTTTACATGATTTCTCTAAAATGGGACCGTAATGAAAAAAATTGGAGGAAAAGTGTAAAATTTTAATTTTTCAGTATTTTCGTTTTCAATGAATGTATATAGCAAAATGTTTCACAGTTAGATGTATGTGGAAAATGAATATATTTAGTTTATCCTCTAAACATTTAGAGAGGAGCTGCAATAGGTTGTACAAAATAACTAGATAGGAAAGTCATGTGTTGGACACATCAAATTTTTATATACTGGTAATTTAAAGAAAAATACATCATTTTTGCAGTTTTAAGCAAGGAAGTCTACTCGGACTTCAGACAGTCTTTTTCGTAAAATTTTGAAGTCATCCAATGAAAGTTAATAGAATCAGGTCCAGCTGAACCCTTTCATTTCTAATCAATCATTCTAAATACCTTAAAAAATAAAGAACCAGTCTTTTCTTTAAAATAATTTTTGTGATCCATAAATTTTGTGAAATCACGGATTCAATTTAGAAAATATATCTTTTATTACCAATATTAAGAAGCTAGGAACAGTTGGTCAATAATAAAACAATTTTAAAAACCTAAAAAGTAATGTATTTAACGAATGAAAAAGTTAAATATACATATTCCATATATTTTATCTTCCCAAAGATGAAATTAAAAGTTTCTGAAACAAAAAAAAAATACAATTTGCAATAATTTATAAAAATAATAATATTCTTCTACAAAATATGTTATGAATATTTTTAAAAGAAATGGTAAAGTTGAGGTTAAAATTAGTTGATTAATTACAAGTATTAGAAATAAAAAATTAAAAAAAACCGACTTCAAAAACGTGCAGATGTCATCACCACATCTTAACCAAATTTATATGGGACCACCCCTGAGATACCCCCTTACTAACAAAAAAAGAATCATATAAATCAGACAAGGTGGTAAAGCATTATCGCTAAACATACATAAAAAATGAAGAGTTTGAGGAATTTCTCATGGACCCAATTATTAGATTTTGACTAAATTTATATGGGACCAACCCTGAAGTATCCCGAACATTGAAATCGGACACCGTGTTAAAGAATAATCGCTGAACATACATAAAAAAAAATATGGCAACGAATTGATAACCTCCTTTTTTGAAGTCGGTTAAAAAGTTATGAATTTGAAATCAATGATTTTATGTTAATTCATTAACTACCAAATGTTAAACAAGACTATAAATTTTCCAGTATCTTAAGAGTTCAATGAAGTATTTGTTTAGCCAATTGTATTAAAAAATACTAAATTTTGATATTTTATTAAGTAAGAGTGGTTATTTTATTTTAGATTCAAATTTGATATATTGTACAATAACTTTTAATACAATACAAAATAAATAAAAAGTGTAGGCCAATACTATCATAAATGACTTAAGGTATGTTTAAGCATTAACATATGTATAATAATAGATAATAATATAAACATAGATTTAAGAATTAAAAAATAAAACTGTTAATGCAGAAAATTTAAAAATTAGCACAAGATTTGACAAATCAATAAAAATGAAAAAAAAAAAGACTATCTCACAATATCTAATTATTATTAATAGAAAGGTTTCGAAGTTTAAGCTAATGGCTTAACCTCACATACACAATTAAATTTATGTCATAAATTTAAACATTGAGTTGGATTTTATTTATCAATCACTCTGCTTATGTTGTTCTGTATAAACAGGTACATTTAAATGTGTCGAATTTAACTTTTATGTTAAAACTAAATGCACAGTTGTTAAAAATTTGAATTGTTCTGTTGTAAAACTTAATACTTCATTTCTTTGATTTTCTGAAAAGTTTACTTAATGTGCTTAAGGAAAATTGGTACAACTGGTCTAGTCAGACTAACTCTAAGAAAATAAAGTCGCTGACAAAAAATGAAGTAGCTACTGCAATTAGGGTTACCATGTTCAAAAATACAATTTCCTAACATATCTAATAAAAATTCCGAAAATTCATTTAA